GGGCACAAGCTGGACCATGGGAAGTTCCACTCCAATGTGAGGAAGAACTTGTTTGGGGTGAGGGTGGCAGAGCCCTGGCAGAGGCTGCCCAGGGAGGGTGTGGAGTCCCCTTCTCTGGAGATCTTCAAGCCCCGCCTGGATGCTCCTGAGTGATGTGCTCTGGGCAGCCCTGCTTTGGCAGGGAGTTGGACTGGATGGTCTCTAGAGGCCCCTTCCAAGTCCAACAATTCTGTGATTCCATGATATTGCTTCATTAGACATTGGGTGCTGGGTGGAAACCAACAAATCTAGTGAACCTCACCGAGGACACTCACCCGTTAGTTATACACAAAAGATTCTCATTATTCCACCTACCTAACACAAAACTCCACCTGGGTTGACATTTTTAATCTCCTTTCGTTATACAGAGAGAGAATTAGGAAGGCAAAAGCCCAGCTTGAGCTTAACTTGGCCAGTGACATGAGGGACAACAAAAGACCTAACACAAAACTCCACCTGGGCTGACATTATTGATCTCCTTAGGTTATACAGAGAATTAGGAAGGCAAATGTCCAGCTTGAGCTCAACTTGGCCAGTGACATGAGGGACAACAAAAAAAGTTTTTATAAATACATCTACAACAAAAAGAGAGCCAGGAGGAATTTCCATCCCTTACTGGATGCGGGGAGGAACATTGCAACCAAGGACAGAGATAGAAGTATCTCTGAGATTAAGTATCTCAGAGAAGGCTGAGATACTTAATGCCTTCTGTGCCTCCATCTTTAATTGTCAGCCCAGATATCTCCAGGGTGTTCAGCCTCCTGGGCTGGAAGACAAGGATGGAGAGCAGAACAACCTCCCCCATAATCCAGGAGGAAGTAGTTAAATTTGCTTCTGCACCTGGACATGCGTAAGTCTATGGGGCCAGATAGGATTCACCCAAGGGTACTCAGGGGGAGAGCTCACCAAGCCTCTCTCCATTAGCTGGACGCGCATAAGTCTATGGGGCTGGATGGAATTCACCCAAGGGTACTCAGGGGGAGAGCTCACAAAGCCTCTCTCCATTATCTATCAACAATCCTGGTCAACAGGAGAGGTACCAGATGACTGGAGGGTGGCCAATGTGACGGCAATCTACAAGAAGGGCTGGAAGGAGGATCTGGGAAACTACAGGCCTGTCCGCCTGACCTCGGTACCGGGAAAGATCACAGAGAGGATCATCTTGGGAGAGCTCTCACGGCAAGTGCAGGGCAGGCAAGGGATCAGGGCCACCCAGCATGGGTTTACAAAAGGGAGGTCCTGCTTAACCAACTTTATCTCTTTCTATGACCCAGTGACCTGCCTTCTCGATGCAAGGAAGGCTGTGGACGTTGTCTACCTGGACTCGGTGACCTGCCTTCTCGATGCAGGGAAGGCTGTGGACGTTGGCTACCTGGACTTTGGTAAGGCCTTTGACACCGTCCCACATGGTGTTCTCCTGGAGAAACTGGCGAATCATGTCATAGACAAATGTACCCTTCGCTGTGTAAAAAACTGGCTGGATGGCTGTGCCCAGAGAGCTGTGATTAATTGGGAGAAATCTTGTTGGCAGCCGGTCACCAGTGGTGTCCCTCAGGGTTCAGTTTTGGGGCCAGTCTTGTTTAATATCTTTATTGTTGATCTGGATGAGGGGATTGGTATAGGAGTACATACTTTGAGACATGAGAGAACCTTGGGATGATTGACTCCTTGTTATCCCATCCTGAGCACTATCAGCTCAGGGACCAACTATTTTCTGACAGAGTAAGAAGCTCAGTAATTAACTCATGTTAGTTAGCATATGGTTATAAACAAAGCAGAGGCCTGCCTTTGGTAACACTAGGAGGTGTGCCTGTCACCCATCCTGGAGATTTAAAACTCATCTGTGGGGTGTTGTGCTCTCAAAACACTGATGTTTTAGGAAAAAAAACATGTGAGTGCCACAATCATTTACACACGGGGGCTAAGGGGGAACATGGATGGGTCCAAAGGAATATCAGAGTGGTGGGTGTTGGAAGGGACCTCTGGAGGTCATCTAGTCCAACCCCCTGCCAGAGTAGGCTGGACAGGAACGCATCCAGGTGGGTTTTGAGTATCTCAGAGAAGGGGACTCCACACCCTCTCTGGGCAGACTGTTCCAGGGCTCTGGAATTCAGATGGAATTTCCTGTGTTCCAGTTTGTGCCTGTTGCTTCTCATCCTGTTGGTGCACACCACAGAAAAGAGTCTGGCCCCTGCCTCTTGACACCTGCTCTTTAGATACTTATAAATGTTGATGAGGTCCCCTCTCAGTCTTCTCCAGGCTAAACAGACCCAGCTCTCTCAGCCTTTCCTCATCAGGGAGATGCTCCAATTCCTCCATCATCTTTGTTGCCCTACGCTGGACTCTTTCCAGCAGTTCCTTGTCTCTGGAGTCCAGTCCCTGGATCACCTCCATAGCCCTCTGCTAGCCTCTCTCCAGTAGTTCCTTGTCTTTCTTGACCTGCTTTCAAGCAGGTCAAGCCCTAACTTGTGCTGGTGTATGGGATTCTCCCTCCCCAGGTGCAGCACCCTACACTTGCCCTCATTGAACTTCCTTAGGTTCCTCTCTGCCCAAGTCTCCAGCCTGTCTTTCAAGCAGGTCAAGCCCTAACTTGTGCTGGTGTATGGGATTCTCCCTCCCCAGGTGCAGCACCCTACACTTGCCCTCATTGAACTTCCTTAGGTTCCTCTCTGCCCAAGTCTCCAGCCTGTCCAGGTCTCTCTGAATGGTGGCACAGCCTTCTGGTGTGTCAGCCACCCCTCCCAGCTTTGTGTCTTCAGCAAACTTGCTGAAGGTACACTCTGCCCCCTCATCCAGGTCATTGATGAATACATTGAAGAAGACTGGACCCGTATGACAGTGGGCCAGCCAGGAGGAAACATGCGTCCCATGGTGGAGCAGCAGGCTGAGGGGGTCATCCCCTCATCGAGGCCTTGGGGACAGCTGAGGAGGCAGCTGAGGGACATCTGGAAGCAGGGAGAGCGGCCATGGGAGAGGGTGCACAGGGGAGAGTTTGTGCCAGGGTGGCCCCCATCCTGGTGGTCAGAGGCCATGCTTGCCAGAGGCTGAAATGCACGCAGACAGAGGGAGGAGAAGGTCAGGGCCACCTCTTGCTGCATCCAGAAGGCACAGGTTGAGTTTGCGTTGGTTTTTTCTTGTTTTATAGTGGGTGGGTTGGTGACCACAGGAGGTACACGCCGGTTACAGGGCAGGGTCTAGCCAGAGGCCCAGGAAAGTTGGGCTAGGGCTGTGCTTCTGTGGCCAGAGCTGCCTGACCCAGCAAGGGGCAACTGTCTCTTCTTCAGAGTATGAACACCCCCAGGGAGCCGAACCAGCCCCCGGGTTTTGTGGTTTCCTACCCCAGCCGTGATCCCTCTGTTGCAGGGTGAGGAATGAAGGCAGGTCAGGGCTGGGAAGGCAAAGCATAAATGGCTACTTCAGCCTCACGCTGAAGTTGAAGGGCACGTGAGATTTATGGGAGTGCCTAAGAGCGGAGTGAAACGCAAAGAAGTGTATCTTAGACATCCAGGAATTGAAGGTGATTCTAACTGATCATCTTCAGTGCTTCAAAAGAGCACGTCAAGGGCAAAGGATGCTGTTTACGGGTCGTTGCTGTTACAGACCCTGTGCTTCTGAAGTATGGTAAGATGAAAACAGTCATGAAAAAGCTTATGTTTTAGAAGGGAAATATCAATATTAGGCTTTATTTACCAGTATAATATTATTAAACAAGCACTACTTTAATATTATTTTAGATTCTACCTGGTAAAATGTAACTTACTTGGCACAAGAGATCACGTCTCGTTTCTCACTTGCACTCTGCCAAGCGGCTGCCATTGGAAATTCCCATCCTAGGAAATTGGTTTTGTCCTGTCAATTCTGTCACAGTCTTTTGCAAGGATTCAGTGCTTATTTTAAGGCTTAAACAAAATAATCTAGGTTTTCCATGTACTGCCACTAATAGACAATACTGATGAAGATTTTTATTTCACACACCAAACTGTGTAGGCTTGCTGGCTCTCAGAAGAATGCAGCGACCCTTCTACCGCAAAACAGCACTCAGCAGCAAAGCCACACAATCTTCTCAAACTTCTCAAACTCTGCTCTTCATAAACTAATTCCAACACGTCCATCTGGCTGAGATGTCCATCATGAGATGGCACGTAAGTTGTGAGAAAACGTTTTTAATTCATCCCATGGGTCTGTAGTTTGCTTGTGTGCTTTTGCTTAGTGGTGGGCCTTTTGGGAGCTTTATTGTTGTGTCTCTGGGCCTCACCTGGGACGAAGAGGCTGAGGAGTTGCTGCCATCTCATGAATTGGCAGATCACGGCCGTTCACACAAGGTGCAAAACTCAGTTTATTTGCTAATCTGAGTTAAATATCTGTCTGTCTACATGCAGCATGAGGCAAAGGGAAGGTGATGTGATTTAAGGTAATCCCACTGTAGAGCAGGTTAAGCAGATGGCTTGATGTTTGCT